GAAAAGCAGGAGATTAATTGAAATGAAAGCAGGAATAGAGATGGAATGGTGGGAGGAGAAGCACACGTAGGAAGAGGAGAGGAAGATCGGAGGGAACAGGTAGGGAGGTCAGATGAAAGAGGAGGTGGCGTGAGGAATAAATGAAAAAGGAGAATGATGCATCATGTCCCATGCTTTCAACGGTCTCGTTCCTCGCTCCGGAATTCCTTAAATATTGATGGAAGGTTGCGGATGGAAAAACAGGAAATGAATGACTGCTGTGTTTTGAGTGAGAGCTGTCAGCAGCTTCAAGGAAAGATGGACTCGTCTTGTTTGTGTATTGATTCACAGTAATGCTAATCTGTCACCATGGAGTGTTGAAGGCTCCCGAGCCTGACTTTGACCACAGGCTGCAGATTTAGGGGTTCGGAGAAGTATTTCTCCCTTGTATCTTTAAACCTTCAAATGGAGCTTTTGTGGTATTGATTTGTTTTCCTTACCATAGCAAAGTATCAAATCAGTCACAGCTCTGCAGCATTAACCAGTATGCATTTAACATGAGCAGCACTTAGAATCCTGCTGCAGTGGTGCTTCATCACTGCCGGTTTCTATGACATGTACGATGTTAATGAATGTTGGCACATTAATACTTCACATGAAGAGAAAAAAAACAGAGACATGTGAACCAGAAATTATGTAACCAACATGTCAACATACCAGCTGTGGCATTTGACAAGTTTTACAAGATTACATTATTTTCATCTAACATTATTTTTACTATGGTGTCATCACAGTATTGTAGCGCTAATTAGCATTGCTTTTGGTATTTCTTTATAATTTCCAGGCAAATTGTAGATTTTATTTCCCCAGATAATTGGGTAATAATTAGAGATATCCGATATTAACTTTCTGCCGATATCCAATATACTGATATTGTCCAAACATTTAATTTACGATTTGGATATTAACCAATACCGATACAGCGAGGCAGTAGTGGCCTGGTAGTTAAGGAAGTTAGGTGATGGGTTAAAACCCTGCCCCTCACCCCCAAAAAATTGAAATGCTATTGAGTGCCTTGTAATATTTATGTATTTAGCTGTACAAACCACTGTAACAGTAGCAGGCACCAGCATTCTTCATACAACCCCCTGATTATCAATCTAGATTGATCAAATGAGCTGTAATGCTGCCACCTAGTGACTAATACATATCCTAGCCACTGATTCTTAGTCTGACAGTTTTACAACAATTTGAAAGTCTTCTTTTTAGACTCCTTCTGGTTGATCTGGATCAAGAGACAGGAGACAGACTCTGTGGACCATTACTGTACCTGTTAGACAGACAGCACGTCTACTCCCTAGCTCACTCCATCTCATTTTAACAGCAGACAGTGGTTCAATCAGAACGTCTGTCGAAAACAGTTTCATATTATCCAGCATCCTCAAATGACACGTCCCTTGAGTCTAATTACCATTCTGACACGGCTGTCTGAACCAATACAGACTCAAAGGCTGATATTCCTCCATCAAGATAAGAATGCAAATATGATATTGATCTCAGGTCTTTACTTATCGCTGTTTGACGAACAAGTCCTGTGAACACGACCAGATTAGCTTTCAAACAGCATCACAGCAAGGACATGGCTTTTGGATTCACCATCTTACGGAGGCTTCACAAAATCAGAGAAAAAGTAATGTCAATTCCCATGTGACCCATGTGGGATAAGTGGTTGGAAATTAAATTTTCAACCACTTATTTTAGAGCAATGATTCTCAAAGTAGGGGGCGGGGTGAGTGCTAAGCTGTTGCCACGGGTTGCAGAAAGGCAAATTTAAGTTAAGTCGCAATGTTTTCTCTCTTTGTTCCACATTAGAAAATGTGTTATGTACATATTCCCTTTACACACTGAGAATAAGGTTTGATAGTGACTACAATCTTCAGTGGAGTTTTAAAGCAAAAGCTGTGAATTTGTTGTGAGGGAGCTTAACAATACTCTCTATGCTCTCCAGGAAAGTTTAGGAACCGCTGTTTGAGACAAAAAGTGATGACAGTAATAACATTAGTATACTCTATTAATTGAACGTGATTATGTTTACCAGTGCAACTAGAGGTCAGCCAGCTGCCATTTAAAACAAAAGAAAAAAGTGGGGATGTTTAGCAGGTTAGCGTAGTTTAACAGAACTTTATGGTAAGTCATTAAAATATACATCTTTTAAAATGTGGTTTATGAAATAAAAAAAAACAACAAAATGTGAGTTTTGTCAAGTTTTTAAGAAATACAGCTTGAGCCAACTGGTCAATTTTGTCTGTCACAGTAGAGTCATTGTTTGCTTTGCAAAAGGATTAGGAAAGTAGAGTAAGGCACCACATTTCAGTCATGTCTGAGCAACATATGTTTGTCTTAATACTGACTGCAGTATTACTTATATAATCTAATCTAAAGATTTAGAAAACTGATTAAAAATCAGTTGTATGTCCTGTAATGGTGAACAAAAGAATTCAGGACAGACAGACTATGCTCATGGTAGAACAGCATATTGTAATGCATAGGTATGCAGGGCTGGATATACTGTTCGTACGTTCATGGAATGCCAGACTGATGTGTTTCCTCTCGTCGGTATGAAATTATCCACGGATGAGTTTTCAGCTGTGCACAACTCTGTGCTTTATAACAACAGGAAACAGAAAGAGCGTCCATTCTGGACATTCTGGGCCAGAGACCTTTAACACAGTGGAACATTTTTGACATGACTGCAAATGAAAGAGATTTTTACAACCTACATATAGGCTAGTCATAAGAAATACTAACAGGAGAATCTTGTAACAACAGTTTTCATCCGCTCAGGCTTAGTGTCTGGTTTAAATCAATGTACGTGTCCAATTATTTGTTTTACTCCATAATGACGTGAAATAATCAGACATAACAATCATGGATGTTCCAACCATAACTTTCTCTCCAATAATGACAGGATCAATACACAGTACATGACAGCTGACCTGTCATTGTCTTTGAAGAGTATTGATCTCTTTCCTGCTGCTTCTTTGACCAACTAGGGCAGAGAGGTGTTGTTGTAGTTTTTGGTGAATTCATAGTTTGAATCTTCCAGAGTTTCTAACTTTGGATGTTACAGTCTAGAAGATTTCTCTTAGGCTTTGGAATAGTTAATAGTTATTTACTGTGTGATAATGGAGGGATAAAGAGAAAACATAATGCTGACATATAGCACTGAGGAGCCACTGATCTGTGTGGGTGTACACCTCCAACAGCACTGTGACAAAACCTTATTCACGTCCCATTTAGATGCGTGAGCTACAGATCTGGGAACTTTACGACTACATTCACGC